TTCAGGATGCCAGCTCCAGGGGAAGGCTTTCTTTCTCTGTCAGCTCTGGGAGAAGGTCCTTGTCATCAGTCTTCCCCACTCGAGGAGCTTCTCACCACAGGAACCCCAAGTCCAAAGGACATGCTGTTTTCTGGCTCTTGTTTCTTGGTGGTATGAGGTCCCTCTGTCTCTGCTTGCTTCTCTCTTTTATATCTCAAAAGAGACTGGTTTAAGACACAACCTAATCTTGTAGATTGAGTCCTGCCTCATTAACATAACTGCCTCTAATCCTGCCTCATTAACATCGTAGAGATAGGATTTACAACACTAGGAAAATCACATCAGATGACAAAATCGTGAACAATGACACAGTACTGGTAATCATGGCCTAGTCAAGTTAACTCATATTTTGGGGGAACACAATTCAGTCCATGGCACCTTCTAACTCATTTTATGAGGCTAGAATTACCCTGATCCCAAAGCCAAACAAAGACACCTCAAGAAAAGATAACTACAGGTCAATATCCCTTATGAATATCGATGCAGAAATCCTCAGCGGAATACTAGCCAGCTGAATCTAACACTCTATTAAAAGGATTATACACGATGACCAAGTGGGATTTCCAGGAATGCGAGGGTGGTTCAAATTAGAAATTTAGTCAATAGAACAAAGAAAGATGACCGTATGATCATCTCAGTTGATCAGAAAAGGCATTTGATAAAAACCAACACCCTTTTATGTTAAAAACAATAAGCTAGGAATAGAAGGGGAGTTCTTCTGTCTGATAAAGGACATTTTTGAAAATCCCATAGCTAACATCACACTTGATGAAGAAAAACTGAGAGCTTTCCCCTTAAGATCAGGAACAAGAAAAGGATGTCACCACTGCTATTCAGATTTTAGTGGAATGCCTAACCAGACCAATTAGGCAAGACAGATAGATAGATAAATAGGAAAAAAAAGATAGACAAATTGGAAAAGAAGTAAAACGATCCCTTTTTGTTGATGACTTGATTCTACATATAGAAAATCCCAAGGAATCCACAAGAAAGCTATTAGAGCTAATGAATGAATTCAGCAAAGTGACAGGATGCAAGGTCAACACAAAAACTAGCCAGGTTTCTATATATCATTGATAAGCATTCTGAAAAGGAAATTAAGGAAACAATTTCATTTACAATAGCATCTAAAAGAATAAAATATTTAGGAATAAATTTAACAAAAAAGTAGAAGTTTTGTGCACTGAAACCTATAAATCATTGCTGAAAGAAAGAAGACCTACGTAATGGAAAGACATTTCATGTTCATGGATGGAAAAACTTAGTTATTAAGATGTTAATACTACCCAAAGCAATCTATAGATTCAATGCGATCTCTCTCAAAATTCTAAGGGACTTTTTTGCAGAAATGGAAAAGCCAATCCTCAAAAGCAAGGGGCCCCTAATAGCCACAACAATCTTGAAAAAGGAAAAGTAGGAGGACACATTTCCAGATTTTAAAATGTACTCTAAAGTTACAGTAATCAAAACAATCTGGTACTGGTATAATGATAGACACATAGACCAATGGAATAGAATTGATAGTCCAAACATAAATGCAGACATCTCTGGCCAGTTGATTTTGACAAAGATGCTAAGTCCATCTAATGGGAAAGAATAGTCTCTTCAATAAAACGTGCTGGGACAACTGGATCTCAACATGCAAAAGAATGAATTTGGACCTTGTGGGGTAAAAATTTAACTTTGCCCGTAAAATTTAGTCTTTGTCCTTCATCTTGATAACCTCTAAACCTTAGCATTTCCCCAGTGATTGAAGTGTCTTTGATAAGGCCTCCAGACCACACCTGAGGGTTTATGATAATGAGGTGTGCCCCTTGGGTCAGGGCTGACCAAGCCATAAAGACCCACCACTTGATATCATCAGCCCAGCCTCAGGGGACGTGGGCTCATCCAATCAACCATGCCAAGTCATGAGGCCTCTGGACACGAACTCGGGGCTTCCTAGTGATGAAAGACATCGATGTACATAGGAGAACCCAACCAAACCAACCAACCCATTCCTGTCCAGTCAATTTCTGACTCACAGTGAATATCAGGCTCAACTGTATTCCTTTTTGCTGTAATAAAACTGTAATCCTAAGTATAGTGCTGTGAGTTCTGTGAGTCATTCTGTGAGTTTCCCAAGGAAGTGGTGGGAGCCAGCAGGTCAGAATCGAGGGAGGCCTAGAGACTCCCTGAGCTTACAGTTGGCATCCTGGGTGGTGAGAGCTAGCAGGTCAGAAGTGAGGGTGTCACGGGAACCCCCAAGCTTCCAGCTGGAGTCTGAAGTCTTAGCCAGACTTGGCAGTCAGAAGGACTATACTCCTTTAATTTGTGAGGTGGCTAGGGTTAGAGGAAAAAGTACATTTGCAGATGTGAACGTTACGGAACTGAGGTGAATTGGATTGATTAAATTCATTCATTTGGTGTGAGAGATAGATTGCACTGCGTTGATTTGATCTTTATGGACCCGTACATCACCTCACATATGAAAATTAACTCACAATGGATGAAAGACCTATATATAAGAACTGAAACCACGAAACTCTTAGAATAAAAGATAGCGATAATGCTTCAGGATCCAGGTTTCGACAATGGATTCTTAATGTATGACACCAAAAATATGAGCAGCAAAAGATGAAATAGGAAAATTGGACTTCATCAGAATTGAAACTTCTGTGCATCGGAACTTTATCAACACAGTGAATAGACAACATACAGAATGGGAGAAAATATTTTAGAACCATATATCTGATAAGGGCTTAATACCCAGAATATATAATGAACTACAGCACAACAAAAAGACAATCAAAAAATAGACGAAGGTTGAATAGACATTTCACCAAAGAAGAAATATAAATGGCCAATAAGCACACGTAAAGATGCTCAGAGCCGTTAGTCATTTGGGAAATGCAAACGAAAACCACGGTGAGATACCACTTCACACCAAGTAGGATGGCTCTGGAAAAAAAAAAAGTTTTTTTTTAAATTTTTTTGTTGTTGTTTAGATGAAGGTTTATAGAACAAATAGTTTCTCATTAAACAGTTAGTACACATACTGTTTTATGACACTGATTGACAACCCCACGACATGTCGGCACTCTCCCTTCTCAACCTTGGGTTCCCTATTACCAGCTTTCCTGTCCCTTCCTGTCTTCTAGTCCTTGTCTCTGGGCTGTTGTGCCCCATTAGTCTCGTTTTGTTTTATGGGACTGTCTAATCTTTGGCTGAAGGGTGAACCTCTGGAGTGACTTCATTACTGAGCTAAAAGGGTGTTCGGGGCATACTCTCAGGGTTTTTCCGCTCTCCGTCAGGCCAGTAAATCTGGTCTTTAAAAAAAAAACAAGTTTTGACCAAAATGTGAAGAAATTGGAACCCTCCTACATTGCTAGTGGTAATGAAAAATGGTGAAACCACTTCGGAAAATAGTTTGGCAGTTCTTCTAAAAATTAAACATAATGTGACCATATGGCCCAACGATTCCTCTCCTACATATATAAAAACCAATGGCCTGCAAGTCAGTTCTGACTCACCATGACCCCATGTGTGTCAGAGTAGAACTGGGCTCCACAGAGTTTTCAATGACTGATTTTTTGGAAGTAGGCCTTTCTTCTGAGGTGCCTCCAGGTAGACTCGAACCTCCAGCCTTTTGATTAGCAGTTGAGCGTGTTATCTATTTGTACCACCCAGGGACTACCCTGCATATATACCCAAGAGAATTGAAAACGTATGTCCACGCAGACACTCATGCAGACACGTACAAGAATGTTCATTCATAGTGGCACTAGTCATAATAACCCAAAGGGGAAACAACCCCAGTGTCCATCACTGGAGGAGTAAACGATAATGTGGTATATCCACGCAGTGGAATGTTATTCAGCCATCAAAAGGACTGCAGAGCTGATACATGCTACTAAATGGATAAACCTGGAAGATATGTTAAGTGAGAGGAGCCAGACATGAAAGGCCACGTAGTACATGATTGTGTTTATGTGGGATGTCTAGAATAGGCAAACCCGTGGAGATGGAAGGTAGATGAGTGGTTGCTAGGGGCTGTGGAGAGAGTCCCCAGGTGGTGCCAACAGCTAACAGGCTCAGTCGCTAACTGAAAGGCTGAAGGTTTGAGTCCACTCAGAGACACCTCAGAAGAAACGCCTGACGATCTACTTCTGAAAAATCAGCCACTGAAAACCCTGTGGAGCACAGTTCTACTCTGAACACACGTGGGATCGCCATGAGTCAAAATCAACTCCAAGGCAACTGGTTACTGGTTAGGGGTTGGGAGAGAGGGTGGAGAATGGGGAAGGACTGCTAATACTTAGGGTTTCTTTTGGGGATGATGAAAATGTTCTGGAATTAGATAGTGGTGATGATTGTGCACTGACTATACTAAAAACCACTGAAATGTACTCTTTAAAAGAGGGAATTATATAGTATATGGAATATTATTGTTGTTAGGTGCCGTTGAATTGGTTCTGACTCATAGTGATCTGTGTACAACAGAATGAAACATTGCCCAGTCCTGCGCCATCCTCACAATCGTTGTTATGCTTGAGCTCATTGTTCTAGCCACTGTGTCAGTCCATCTCATTGAGGGTCTTTCCTGTTTTTCACTGACCACTACTTTACCAAGTATGATAGAGTATGGTCCCTCCTGATAACATGTCCAAAGTACATGAGACGTGTCTCACCATCCTTGCTTCTAAGGAGCATTCTGGCTGTACTTCTTCCAAGACAGATTTGTTCATTCTTCTGGCAGTCCATGCTATATTCAATACTTTTCATCAGCACCATAATTCAAAGGCGTCACCTCTTTGGTCTTCCTTATTCATTGTCCAGCTTTTGCATGCATATGAGGCAATTGAAAGTATGAAATATATCTCAAGAAAAATAAATTTTATAATGTTATGCATTTAAAGATTTTTCTTTTTAAAAAATGCTCATTTGATGTTTGCATTAAGAAAATTATTTAATTTTTTTAGGAATTTATCATGGCATCCTGCGTTGACCACTGAGAGTAAAATGCGAATTCCACATTCTCATGCGTTTATTGATCTGACTGAAGATTTCACAGCCGGTGAGTTGCACAGAAGTGTGAGATACGTTCTGACCTGCCAGCGAGTTGTGTGGTTTAACTTCCTGACTTTTTACTTAGCAGTCATTTCCTAATGAACGGAGTGTTGAAAACAAATATTAATACGTTGAAAAAAGTCAACGGCATTGGAAAAAGGGCTACATGTGATAAATCTTCATTATTTTATTGTTCTTATTGGTTAACCACCTCACAATTTAAATTCTCTACTTACGTGAAATTCATGATAGTTTAGGTACATGGTTGACTCAGGGTTCTTTCCTTTTACAAATTATTTGTTGACTAATAAATTCTATAAATTTAATAATAAAGAAAACATTTAGCTTGTGTACCAAAATAATTTCAAAGGGTCTTAAAAGCTTTTAACTATGGAAAATTTTGGACATAGTAGATATGTATGATTAAATGGGGTGATGATTACATTACACTCCTTTGCGGTAGTTACAGAGTCGTATATGCGATCATCACCCCCGTTGAATCATCACATAGCTTCAGCAGTCATCAGTTCTGTTTGTACGCCACATCCTCCTCCCACCTCAGACCATTTCAAAACAAATTCCAAACATCATCAGTAAATACTTCAGTATGTATCTATAAATAATAATTACTTTTTTATTTTCTCCTGAATGTTTTTGTTAAGTCAGAACCTGCACAGGATCCACACGTCGTATGATGTCCATTAAGTCTGTTTTAATCTAGAAGTTTTCCCTTTCTTTGTAACTGGTGTTTAGTTTCTCTGTATTTCTGGGTGGGGGGAAATATTGTCTTGTTGAATTTCTCACAGTCTGCATTTTGCTGATTCCATCCCTTTGATGTTTGTCTAACATGTTACTCTGTCCACTGGATTTTCTCTAAACCATTAGTTGGATTTGGAGCCTCGATCAGAATCAGACTTTCTTGCGGGGGTTGGGAGGTGAGGTCAAGGACACCTCCTCGGTGTTACTTTGTGTTTCGTCTCGTCAGGAGGCACATAACTCGGTTTCTCCTTTGTGATGTTAAACTTGATCAGGAGCTTAGCTGTTTGTCCTCAGCATACCCATTGCCATTGATTCCGACTCACAGTGACCCTACAGGACAGAGTAGAACTGCCCCATTGGATTTCCAAGGAGCCGGTGGTGGATTCGACCTGCCGACCTTTTAGTTAGCAGCCATAGTTCTTAACAACTGTCCCACCAGGGTTTTTGTCCTCAGCATAGGCCATCCTAATGGTTTTTAGCAGCCATCATTGGTCATTGTCAGGTCTGATTACTTCAGTAAACCAAGTAACCAAACCTGTTGCCATCAAGTCGATTCCGACCCATGGCGAACCCATGTTACAGAGTTGAACTGCTCCGTGGGATTTTCTTGGCTGTAATCTGTGTGGAAGAAGATCACCAGGCCTTTTTGTCTGCAGAGTCACTGAACAGCTTTGAACCACCAGCCTTTAGGTCAGCAGCTGATCACAAACTCCTTGTGCCACCCAGGGACCAAATAACTTCAGTAAAACCAAAAAACCAAAGACACTGATTCTGACTCATAGCGACCCTATAGGACAGAGTAGAACTGCTCTGCCAGGTTTCCAAGGCTGTAAATCTTTATGGAAGCAGACTGCCGCATCTTTCTCCCACAGAAGGGCTGGTGTGTTCGAACCACCGACCTTTGGTTTAGCAGCCAGGTACTTTAACCACTGCACCAACAGAGTTCTTTAATTACTTAAATAGGAGATGCAGAATTATGGCACCGTAAGTCTGTCACTCCTCTGCATGTATTATTAGCTGGAATTTTTCTATAAAAAGGGAACTTTTCATCATCTCTTTGGTTACCCTGAAGTACAGTTGAGACAGGCTGGTTAAATGATTTTTTCCCCTCTCTCTCCCTATTTTTAACAGTTTTCAAACACTTGTAATCTCTTTTGCAGTGACTTCCTGATACCTTGTACTAACTGCAAATAAGTACAGCAAGCCTGGTGGCTGCTAAAAGTAATACAGCTTCTTTCCATGATTAACCACCTCAGCTTTACTTGGGAAACAGGTAGCCAATAACATTGTAAAGCTGAACCTCTTATTAAGTCTGCATTGATTATGAGTTTTGCTAGAGCATTTTTATTATTAAATTCTTATGATACATCTTGAGGGTTCAAATTTTAGCCCCCAGATTTACTGTGGATTTTACTGATTGAAAACAAACAAAACCACAAATTGGGCCTTTTGTCCACTAAGTTTTTTTTATGGTTATAAGTTTCTTGGTTCCTGGGGATGTATTCCAGTTAGAAAGAGAAGGGACAATTTAAGAAGGAAAAAAAGAGGGTTATTTTTAGTATGGCTTACCTGGTATGCTGAATCATGTGAAAACCATCATAATGAGGCTTAAGTACAATGTCATGGAAGCTGTCTTAAAAGCTCCTCTTTCAAGACAGGAAAATTGTGTAGTCATAGGCTCGTTTTGTATTACAGAAATGTTTTAATGTTAAAGAGAAGGAGCAGCTCTAGATTAAGACTTAAGAGACATAATATGATCTATGGACCTCGATTAGCTCCTGATTTGATAAAAACATGGAGGAGCAAATTCGAGCATTTTGAATCGTGACCAGATATTTGATTGTATTACGTAGCAGTACATAAACGATATGTGTATTCTATAATTTCTTTTTTAGGAAAGAACTATATTAGTTGTCATGTTTTAGATACTTAGTTACTTTTAGTTGAGTATATTAGACTTCCTTAAACAACATTGACTTTGCATTTCAATAATTTAAGAATTCTTGAGTATGCACGATCAACAAAATTTACCTAAAAATTTTTGTGACGAGACCATTTATTCTTAGGAGTTGTGATTTTGAGCTAACAATCTATTATATAAAATGTAAAGAAATTGTCTTTGAAGAATAATCTTTCAGAAGTTGGTAATAACCTAAAATATATCAAGAGATGTTAAAAATCCCTATTTTATGATTCTGTTCTTTAAAAGTCTGTCTCTGCATTTGAAATCATTTCAGCAAACATTATTGAGTACCTGCTCAGTGCAAAGCTCTCTACATGCTTTCTGTGAAATACACAGATGACAGGAAGTGCTTTCAGCCATCAAAGCATTTAGTTTCCTGGGAGAGACTGACAAGTCTAGCCATAATATGTATCAGAATGAATAAATGCATATTAGCTCTAAACTGGTACGTAGTAACAAGGGAGATTGTAGGAGACCCTGTTCTTGGATCTGTGGAGTCCTGCACAGCTGAGCTAAAAACGTGGCCAAACGAAAAAAGTCATGAGTTACATGGTTCTCGTTGTCCGTGGTATACTCAGGACATGTAAATCTTTTCCAAGCGGTCAACACTGTAAGAAATTCTTCGTGTAAGTGGGACTTCCTACAAGAGACAAGCTGAGATATATAATGTATTATTAAATGAGTTCTCCCCTGGAAATAATTCTTCCCTTTTTTATAGCATTTTAATTTGTTCATTAGTTTTTTACCAACTACCAAAAGCATACTTTTATAAGGACTCTTACCTACTGTATAGAAGCCCTGGTGGTGCAACGGTTAAGTGCTCACCTGCTAACTGAAAGGTTGATGAATCAAACAAACCCACCCAGCAGCTCCACAGGAAAAAGACCTGGCCGTCTGTTCCCTTAAGATTACAGCCTAGAAAACGCTGTGGGGCAGTTCTGCTCTGTAACACATCGGGTCACTATGAGTTGAAAATCGACTCCACGACGCCTAACAGCAATCTGCTTTATGGTTGTAACATAATTTGTTTAAATAGTCCTTTTTTTAAACGGTTAGTTTGTTTCCAGGCTTGTGTTCTGTTTCAGTTTGCGTTTTGTTTGTTATAAATTGTGCTTGGGTGAAGATCCTGACCTGAGTTCTTTCTACCTGATACTTAAAGTAATATTTGTTCACATCCCAGATTTTGCTTTTAATATGTAAATAGAATTTGGGGAGTTTAGGTATCACTTTTTCATTCTCGACAAAATGTTCTGACTAAGGACTCGGAAACTGCTGTTTTGGAGTACTGCTCTACTAACCCTAATTTTGCCCTGGAGCAGTAATTTTCAAAGTGTGGTCTGGGGATCCCTTAGGATCCCAAAGACCCTTCCAGAGGGTCCGCGAGTTCGAAATGATTTTCGTAAAAACTGTAAGACATCAGTTGCCTTTTTCACTGCCATTCTGTCATATTTGTACAGTGGAGTTTTCTAGAAACTTAATAACATATAAGGACTTTATTGCTCTGACAGCTTGTATGTGTGCTTGAATATTCTTGTGTTTTAAAAATGTCTGTTTTAATTCCTAATATGGTAAATATCAGTAGCTGTAGCTCACATAAACAAAAGCTCTTTGAGGTCCTTACTAGTTTTTAATGGTGCAGAAGGGTCCTGAGACCAGTCACCTTAAGAACTGCTGCCCCAAGCAAATGAACGCCTTTAGGTGACTGAGATCACTGTACAAAGGAATGGGAAAGGGTCTGTAGTATCCCTGATGCATACATATATCAAAGGTAAGATCTTGGCTGTGACGAGTTAGGTTATAAAGGTCTCTCTGAGCACTGCTCCTGCCCCGTTCCCTTTCTTCTTCCTGCCGAATAATGGTCAGCGTGCTGGCATCTCGCCCTGAAGTGCAGCCAGTTAGAGGAATTGAGAGACCGGTCTCTTGGTGAGGTGATCTAAATAGACAGCCCTCAACCCCAGGGACTCCTTCCCATTTTCTTAGTGAGATGCTTGTCTACTTGTTATAAAACTGGGAAGCTATCACTTTAAAGGGCCTTTAGCCTTGCGTCTGTTGGCTGGGACGAGCATGTTTCGCTTTCAGTAGGTCTGGAAAGCTCACACTCACCGTGCCTCCCCGAGGACTCCTTTGAGCAAAGGGCTGGGTGGATGGGGCCTGTCGGGCATTTAAAGTGAGAAGACCAAGGAAACATGACCTGAAAACGTCTTTAATATCACAAATTCTTTTTCATTCATTCACCACATTCGATAATTGTTTACTGAGCCTGTCTGCCAGGCATTGTGCTTGGA